AACGTTTGGTTGGGTACTGCATCATGACAGATTTTTAACTGACTTTGGTTCCTAGGTCAGCATAGCCTCAGATGAGTACAAGGATGGCATATATTGTTCGAAGGGGGTAGGGGGTATACCTATTGCCCGCTAACAAGCATGTCATATAGTGTGACTAATTAAAGTGGGAGTGAATCTGCTCGAGACGCAAGGGACAACTAAACAAACAAATAGGCCAGATCTTTCAAACGGGTATGCACAAGTTTTGGAACCAAATCCACAGTGCAAAAAGTGGATGAACAACCAGAACTTTCTGCCGTAGTTTACAACTAGTGAACATGAAGAAGAAGAATACTGTATCATGGAAGATTTTGTATAACTGACCTTAGTTCCTGGGTCAGAATAGTCTGACACTTTCCTGAAGGTCTAGCTTCAAATTCACAATGTCTGACTGTTTCAGAATTGACCTTGCCTCCGGGCACCAAGCAATATTGCAGTGTCCTGGAAAGCGTCTGGTGTGAAGTCGGAGTGCATCTGTCGGAGAGGCAAGGAACCAACAGTCTGTATTCAAGAGAATGAGATCTGTAAAACTGATGCACATGCAACACTCAGGTTCTGGAGCAGGACTGCAGTTCAGTAGTGGACGAGCAACCAGAACTTTCCGCCAGAGTGTACAGCTGGTGACCGCGAAGAAGAAGAAGACATCACCAAAAAAAAACCAAATAAGCCTAGCATTATGTGCCCGATGTACCACTGGCGTATAAAGGGCTCTTTACTTGGGCACAGTGGTCAACTACTTTGACAAAGCCTGTGCATATGCTTGTGAAGTTTATATGTGACATGGAATAAGAACATTTTAATTGCAATTTTAAAATTGTTTCTTCTCCAGAAGCTCTCCTAAACTAAGAAGAAAATTGTCCTTGTCAAGTGTGGACACACCCCCTAATGACTGCATACAGAGTGATCAGGAGTTTATATTGTCAGCAGAGTCAGGTATGTATTTCATGTCATTTCAAAATGTCTCCTTTTTAAATGGGCTTTACTTGTGTTGTTTCAGTCTGTAGTATTTCAGCACATTTGTTGACTGTTGTACTGTTGTAAACCCCCTTTATGTAGGCTATGGGCATAAAGAGCACTTACTGGTTTAACTCATTAAATGTTTGCATTCAAATAAGCCTTATAAATGGTTCACCTCTCTAACAGCGTAGTGCGTTCTCACATTATGACACACACACACACACAAATACAGTGAAATTTGCTGAAGGTTTTGCAGCTTAGCTGTAAACCACAGATGCTTTCTACTCTTATGAGTCCAAATGCAGAAGTTTTTGTAAACAGTTTCATTATTCTGAGTCTTGTTAACCTGAATATCCTTTAGTGTGATTAGTTTAACCTGGCCACTGCAACTGTATCATGCAATACTAGGGCAACAAAAGGAAGTACAGCGGTGCTTCGGGTCACTAACTTAATTCCTTCTTTGGCTCTTTCTGTAAGTCAAAATGTTCTCGACCCAAAACATTTGTTCCCCATTGAAATTAATTCAGATCCAATTAAATCGTTCGCCAGTCGAGATTTAAAAAAAAATTATTTATGTGTGGCAAAAATAATAATATATAAAATGCACAGTATAACTTTACCTAACATCTCTTGGAATCTGCATTTTCGCCAATATTTCACCGTACAAAAATAAAACCTTTTTGTCTATTAGGGCCTCATTAACACATCTCCTAGCTTCTTTTCAGTAAAACAAACAATAATTGTTCTACTTCTAACACTTGAGACCTTTGCTTCATTAACATGGTGACTGCTGTAGCCACATCAGTCGTCTTTAGCGCATCTTTGTTCTTCGATATAGGGAAAGATAGTAGATTTAACCAAGTTTCTGCTTGTAATACGCTAGGTTTCTTTACGCGACTTTCACTAAAACTGTTCACTTTCGTTGGAGCTATAATGAGGAATCATTTAATGGAAAAGAAGTGTCGAGAACAATGCAACGGCAAAAAATATGTACAGAGCAAATACAGTTTATGCTGTTTGCAAGCCGAAAACTTGCACCAAAGTCACGTTTGTGTGTTTATGCTTCAATGCATTGTTGATAGGTAAGGTCAAAATTTGTTGGGACATAGTGTTCATGAGCCAATTTGTGCATGACTAGAGGTGTTGACCCGAGGTACCACTGTCAATAATTGTTAGACTATAGCATACAAAAAGAAGATAAGAAATATCAAGATCTTAAGAGATCTGAATATCAATGAAGATTGGCTAATAAACAGCATCCTTTCTCGAGAGCTGAAATATTTTGGTCATATCAAGCGCCACGGCGGATTGGAAAAAAATTATAGCAGAAGGCATGGTACCAGGAAGGAGGGGCAGGGGCTGACCGACACGAAGATGGGCACAGGATATAAGTGACTCCTTGAGTGTGAAAGTTCATGAGGCGGGAGAACTGGCAAGAGACCTAGTTTCTTACAGACAGGATGTGATGAGAGCGACGTTTTGCAAAGGACCTGCAACATGATGATGATGTAGCATACAAAGCATGTCATAAGAGGAGAATAAGGGAGGCTGGCACAAGATTGACCTTAGCTGCAATCAATTATAATAAAGCATACAAAGGGCTTTCTATGAAGTGATTGAAGGTTATGGCTTCATTGGAAGATGAAGGGCAGGAAAAGAAAACTGGTTGTGTATTTGATTTTCACAATTAATTTGTTGTTACTTTAGTGATTTATGCTTTAGAACTTTTTGAACACGAAAGTTAACTTTTATTTCTCCTTTTGCAACTTGACCATCGTTTTTTTTTTCTCCTTTTGCAACTTTACCATCGTGCACTACTTGTTTTAAGAAAATTGTACAGTTTCTCCTGTCTGTTGTACATTACTATTCTCCTCTATCGTACATTACCATTCCTCTGTATCTTATATTACTATTCTCCCATGTCTGTTATACCTTACTATTCCCCCATGCCTGTTGTACATTACTATTCTCCCATGTCTGTTATACCTTACTATTCTCCCATGTCTGTTATACCTTACTATTCTCCCATGTCTGTTGTAAATAACTATTCTCCCATGTCTGTTGTACTTTACTATTCTCCCATGTCTGTTGTACATAACTATTCTCCCATGTCTGTTGTACTTTACTATTCTCCCATGTCTGTTATACATTACTATTCTCCCATGTCTGTTGTACATTACTATTCTCCCATGTCTGTTGTACATTACTATTCTCCCATGTCTGTTGTACATAACTATTCCCCCATGCCTGTTATACATTACTATTCTCCCATGCCTGTTGTACATAACTATTCTCCCATGCCTGTTGTACTTTACTATTCTCCCATGTCTGTTGTACTTTACTATTCTCCCATGTCTGTTGTACTTTACTATTCTCCCATGTCTGTTGTACTTTACTATTCTCCCATGTCTGTTGTACTTTACTATTCTCCCATGTCTGTTGTACATTACTATTCTCCCATGTCTGTTGTACATTACTATTCTCCCATGTCTGTTATACCTTACTATTCTCCCATGCCTGTTGTACTTTACTATTCTCCCATGCCTGTTGTACTTTACTATTCTCCCATGTCTGTTGTACATAACTATTCTCCCATGTCTGTTGTACTTTACTATTCTCCCATGTCTGTTGTACATTACTATTCTCCCATGTCTGTTATACATTACTATTCCCCTATGCCTGTTATACTTTACTATTCTCCCGTGTCTGTTGTACATTACTATTCTCCCATGTCTGTTGTACATTACTATTCTCCCATGTCTGTTATACATTACTATTCTCCCATGTCTGTTATACCTTACTATTCTCCCATGCCTGTTGTACTTTACTATTCTCCCATGTCTGTTATACCTTACTATTCTCCCATGTCTGTTGTACATAACTATTCTCCCATGTCTGTTGTACTTTACTATTCTCCCATGTCTGTTATACATTACTATTCTCCCATGTCTGTTGTACATTACTATTCTCCCATGTCTGTTATACATTACTATTCTCCCGTGTCTGTTGTACATTACTATTCTCCCATGTCTGTTGTACATTACTATTCTCCCATGTCTGTTGTACATTACTATTCTCCCATGTCTGTTGTACATTACTATTCTCCCATGTCTGTTGTACATTACTATTCTCCCATGCCTGTTGTACATTACTATTCCCCCATGCCTGTTATACATTACTATTCTCCCATGTCTGTTGTACATAACTATTCTCCCATGTCTGTTGTACATTACTATTCTCCCATGTCTGTTGTACATTACTATTCTCCCATGTCTGTTGTACATAACTATTCTCCCATGCCTGTTGTACATTACTATTCTCCCATGTCTGTTGTACATAACTATTCTCCCATGCCTGTTGTACTTTACTATTCTCCCATGCCTGTTGTACTTTACTATTCCCCCATGCCTGTTATACATTACTATTCTCCCATGTCTGTTGTACTTTACTATTCTCACATGTCTGTTGTACTTTACTATTCTCCCATGTCTGTTGTACTTTACTATTCTCCCATGTCTGTTGTACTTTACTATTCTCCCATGTCTGTTGTACTTTACTATTCTCCCATGTCTGTTGTACTTTACTATTCTCCCATGTCTGTTGTACTTTACTATTCTCCCATGCCTGTTGTACATAACTATTCTCCCATGTCTGTTATACTTTACTATTCTCCCATGTCTGTTGTACTTTACTATTCTCCCATGCCTGTTGTACATTACTATTCTCCCATGTCTGTTGTACATTACTATTCTCCCATGTCTGTTGTACCTCACCATTCACCTCTGTATGTTGTACCTCACCATTCACCTCTGTATGTTGTACCTCACCATTCACCTCTGTATGTTGTACATTACCATTCTCCACTGTTTTTCCTATTGCTGGCATTTAGCCTTGTTGCTTCAGTTCCTAGTTGTGTGTGCACATTTTTTATTGGGTTTACTAGCCTGCCTAAAAAAATGTTGCTCTTAAACAAGCAGCAGAACCCCTCTCGAGATCCATCGATGATTCTTATGGTCAGAGCTGCTTCAACCGCGCAGCGGTGGACTGGTATCTGCCATCAGATTCCCGCACCAGGAGTTTAATTTTGTGAAACTTCATGTTATGAATTAAGCATCTTATCTGTCCAAGAATTATTGAAAAACATAGACGTTAGATTCAACTTGGGCAGTTTGCGATGGTTCACCTAAGATTAAGCGTAAACATTTTAGACCCTTGGCTCTGCCAGTATGGCATTGCAGTGGATTGCATGTCAGAATGGAAAAGCCAAAGAAGCCAGTAACAAAATCAGCGATCAAGGGAAGAAAAAAACTAGAGCAGGTTTTTCAAACACTGTCCAAATTGTCATAGTTCTGAACTCTATGAATCTGCAGGCATTGTTTTTACCTTTGTGAACCATAATCTGCATTGCATTGTGGTTTACATATAGGCAGTGGCATCTCTATCATCAGCCCAATACGCATTAATTTAGTAAGCCCTTTGTGTCAACTGTTTTAACAGATTTTGTTATTTGTGTAAAGACTTGGTTTCTCTCCTCTTGCACTCTGCAGGTAACACCCCTAATTGTACGACATGCTTCCTAGGGGGCAGTGGGTCTTTTTTTTTTCGCCCACAGTGTGACCCCAGAACCCACGCGAGTAGATAGGCCTGTTTTGAGTTTGGGTAGGGCACAAGTAGGATGGCTTGTCAAGATTGTGCGGGGGCTGATTGGTTTTTCACTAGTTTTCAAATGGGACAATGAAGAACATTTTGTGTGATTTCCGTTGGCACGGGAAGGGAGTAGTTATATGCGTCCCTTCTGTTGTGATGTTACAACCTCGACTGACTAGAGCAGGGGTTCTCAACCTTCCGGTCGCGACCCTTTCACAGGGGTCGTCTAAGACCATCGGAAAACACATATTCGTTGGAAGTTATGAAAAAAAATAATTGTATAGGGGAACTGTATTCAAGGGCCGCGGCATTAGGAAGTTGAGAGCCAC